GGAACCCTAACGAGGAAGTATCCTGGTCAGTGTTTTCATATCCTCATGCCAAGTTTGAGTTTGAACCACATTTGCCACCCAAAACCTACCTCCGCAAACAGCATGCGCCGTGGCAACCTATTCGGTGACATGCGCAACACGTCCCAATCACCGTAGTCTGTGTAAGTCGACGGCTTATTTCAGCGGATGACCACAAGTACCTAAAGCTGAGTCTAACCACAGAATTACTTCGGTGTCCCCACCAGACTCGTGCAATGCGGTATAGATAGTGGTGTTCGAGCACCGATAGTCACTCTGTCTTTATCCTGTTTTCGCAGTGACCAAGTCTGCGCCGTATAACAGAACTGCCTGAACTGCTGCAGCATACACTCGACCCTCTACAGCCAGATGTCGCGACGGCGCCAAAGATTCAATACTACGTCTGACCTAGAGGAACCTTTCACGGTTCGCCGTTCCACGTCCTGGGGCGTAAGTTAATGGTTTCCATCACTGAACAGCAGGTCTACGTGACTGTGGGGTCTACCCCGCCTGCTGTTCATCACACTAAGGTTTGTAATAAAAAAAGGCAAATGCCAACCGAGCCTTTTATATATGTACTGACGCTTCATCTGTGATGCTCCCACCGGGTGAGGTGTAGTTACCCAGATAATGTGTCTGCCTGCTCTATTACTTCTCCAGTTATAAGGAGGTTGGGAGCTGGACCAACCCAGACTTGTAGCAAAATTTTACAATTTGAGGGTGCAAACGCATACCAAACATTGATACATTACATTCAAACTATCCAGAAAAGCCTGCAACTTCCCTGTATCTTCACTTTGTAGCACAAGGGGCAGTGGTGGACAAATGGTTAGGCTACCAACTTTTGAACTGGGAGTCCCGGGTTCGATCCGCTCCATCGCCGCCCGTCTTCCCAGGCGGCCAATCCTCTGCACCGTAGAGCAGAACTGGCCGAACTACTCCAGCATATACTCGACCCTTCAAAGACTCCTTCAGGTGAACTGCCAGTGATTTACCGGCCCGGTTGTAGCTCCAGATATTGGCTTTCCGTCCTCACTTTGGTGGGAAAACATCTTCGCCACGCGAAGGCAGTGAGTAAGGCTTCCTCAGCAGAAGTTACTTGTACGCTTACTTGTAAAGTGCTGAGAAAATGCCCTAAATCCGAAACCCGGTATCTATTGTGTCGAATTATGCGCCTTTGAACTAAGATACCTGTTCCCAATGCAACCAGTAAAATGTACTTTCAATTCATATACCTCATCACACGGGATTGTAGTTAGGGGGTTACCAACTATCCTCGATGCATCAGCTGTTGGCGGCTCACCAACCAGGTTATCCTAACTTGGGCTGGCTTTCCACCCTCTTAATTTGGTATAAACTTTCATCACGAGATGTAAGTGACTTAGACAACAGAGACTGTAAAATCAGGTCTTTGGCAGAGGTCGGGGAAGTTATGAGAGAAACAAGACTAAATTCCATGTGCTAAAATACCTGCCCTGACCACACGAAGACATTTGACGTCAGTTGGCAACATCAGTAAAAATATGTTGCTGCAAGCTGGGTTGGGAATATGTACTGCATCTGCTTTGCAATCTGTGGTGTTTCGCTTCTTTTGCACCCTTTGCTACGTAAAATGCTTGATACTACTCAGCGAAATTCTCGTCAATTTCATGCTGTGCTACAATAATGAGGACACTGGATGATAGCTAGGGATAGATAAGTTAGCGAAATACTGAAAGCTTGATTTCGGTGACTCCTAATAAATGATATTTCACAATCGGTGCATCGCTAACTAAAATCCCCGAACGAAGTTCCATCTTTTGCTAGTGCAGTATCAGTCTTTGGATTATGGGGTTTATTCTCTTTATTGTGAATCGATTTAGTTGTTTAATAGAGCAAAACATGAACTTTTGGATTGAGAGAGTCAACATCCAGAAGGATCGGATTGGTTATGAAAATAGTTGGTAACTTGATCTCTAAAGCTTGTATTAGTATTGGGCCTCCCAAGGCCTCAGTATGGTTGGGGTTGGGTGTCTAGGGTTGCGGCTGGTCACCCTGCCCTTGCACCTCACGAAATGCCCCCATACGACCAAGCGTCTCAAATAGCCTCTGCTGAGGAAGCCCTACTCACTGCCTTCTCGCGGCGGAGGTGTTTTCCCACCAAAGTGAGAGGACGAAAAGCCAACCTCCGGGGCTATAACCGGGTCGGTGGACCACTGGCAGTTCACCTAGGGGAGTTGGCCAAAAATCCTGATTCCGAACCAACCATGAAGAGACGTACGAACCACACCCACACCTTTTCGGTTGTGGCAGTGGTCACCGGCTCGATTGGGCATTGAGGTGTATTGGGCACCTTGGACGTCTGACCCCGTCCGAAGTGCGTATGATCCGATGAACTGGACACCGGCTCCCAATGGACTGCGGTTTTCGCACACCGCCCCGCTGCCTTGCGGGTCAGGCTTTGGCTAGCCGAAGGCTCCGGTTGTGGATTCCTCAAGAAAATTCACCTGCCTTGGCCTGGGCAACCTGGCAGTACTCAGCCCACAAGCCAATCATGGAACATTTTTCTTTTATAAAGATTATTGTACCATGATTTGCTTGGCACACAGTCTGTCCTCAGACAAGTGTGAAATATTATATATAGTCAGTAGGGTAAAGTTCTTTTATGTGGAGACTAAACATACGATTAGTGTCAGAAGTCCACCATGGTTTGAACTGTCATACTACACCCGCCAATCCAACTTTACCTACCGCACAGTACGTCTGTGACTTTAATGCTCTAGTTCTGTTGCGCATCATGATCAGAATAATGGGGGGTTATGTTTGAATACACAACAAGCAGTACGGTAAGGATTGTTATGTGGTAATTCGCGGACATTCATCTGAGCACAACTTTTTAATTCTACGCTTTAAGTGATTAATTTTATAAGTAGCAAGTAAAACAGCCCAAAGAGGAGGGTTTCGTGATTCTGCGGTTGTCCAGACGGTGCTAACCATTGTCGGTCACCTGACAAGAAGAGCTTGATGATTCCGACCGGGGTTGGCGGGAAAGTGAGTGTATTTGGGTCTAAAACATTGGGCTTCCTACAGCAGCACCAGTAGTAGTAGCGATATAAATGGTGATAGAATCGCAATAGGGTGAGTGAATGTTTGAAAGTTGAGTGTTAACGACGGATCGGTTAGGGAACGAATTGCTTTGCGCTGTACAGATAACAGCTCCACTGAAGACGTAGCAACACTACTCCACAGTGGTAAGTATCTTACCTTCGCAAAGGATGGTAAAAGGTGAAAACGATTTCACCCAGAAAAAATGTTGAATCATCCTTGAAGCACGTGATGCATAGCCAAGGACAAGCGGGTACTCAGGTAGAACCGAGAGGTGAAGCGAAGTTAG